GGTCATCGGCTGTGTTGGGTGGTTGAATTGCGACGAGCGCGTTGCTGATGAAACATGGCAGGTTTTTTGCTGGAGTCGGAGTTGGGTCCATTTCAGTGCTCGTACCCGTCTATCAATCGGAAATGGCGCCGAAATGGATTCGAGGAACCCTTGTTTGCGCCTACCAACTGTCCATCACAATAGGCCTATTGTCTGCATCCTTTGTCAACATCTTAACCGAACGACTCGATTCTGCCGCCGCATACCGAATCCCCCTTGGTCTTCAACTCGTATGGGCAGTTGTTCAAGCCCTCGGTCTTCTTATCCTCCCCGAAACTCCTCGCTTCCTTGTCAAGAAAGGCAAGCCCGAGGCTGCGGGCCTGTCGCTCAGCCGCCTCCGACGTCTCGATATCACTCACCCTGCTTTGCTCGAGGAGCTGCAGGAAATCATAGCCAACCACGAGTATGAGCTCACGCTAGGCCCTGACTCTTACAAGGAAATATTCTATGGATCACCTCATCTCGGCCGACGAACTCTCACCGGATGCTGCCTGCAGATGCTGCAGCAACTTACGGGTATCAACTTCATCATGTATTACAGCACCAGCTTCTTCGACGGCGTCAAGCTGGAGAATCCCTACCTGAAGGCTCTCATCATCAATATCATCAACGTGGTATCGACAATACCTGGACTCCTGGTCATCGAATCTTGGGGTCGACGCAAGCTTCTCATGGTTGGCGCTATTGGCATGGCCGTCTGTCAGCTCATGATTGCGTCATTCAGTACGGCCGCTGGCGATAACCTTCAGCAGGCTGCCCAGACAATTCTCATCGTCTTCTGTGCCATTTACATCTTCTTCTTCGCAGCATCTTGGGGGCCCGTAGCCTGGGTCATCACGTCTGAAATCTACCCTCTCAAGGTCCGTGCGAAAGCCAACTCGATCTCGACTGCGTCAAACTGGCTTCTGAACTTCGGTATCGCCTACGGAACCCCTTTTATGGTCGGGTCAGGACCTGGATACGCGGACATTGGACCCAAGATCTTCTTCCTCTGGGGTGCCTTCTGCATTCTGGCAGTTTTGTTTGTCTGGTGCATGGTATTCGAGACCAGTAAGATCAGTCTGGAACAAATCGACGAAATGTATGAGCGTGTCGACTATGCCTGGAACAGTACCCGGTTCGAGCCAAGCTGGAGCTTCCAACAAATGCTGGACGAAGGATGGTCACCCAGCGCTCAGCCCCCGCCAGAACACGAGCTGCAACAAACACAAACCAATTCATCAACCCAGACGACGCAAACGAACTCGAATTCGGCGACCTCAACAAATACTGGCGCTACCGGGAACTCAACATCAGCAGAAGCAAAAATGTTGTCGCAGATGGGCAATGTTGACTTCAGTTATTGATCTTTTATACCCAATCTATTATATCTACTGTTACTAGTACCGCTCTTTTTTTAACTTGTTTTTTTTTTTTCCAAATCATATCCCGGATAGCAGCGTCGGAGTTACGATGTCAAGGAGTTTTACGGGTTTACTGGCTACAGTCACTGACGGGGGGGTTGGTTCTTGGTGTTTATCTGGCGGGAATGGAAATGCCACTACACAGCGGTCGTTTGGGCAAGGATGAAGGACTAACGGTCAATGTTGACGAGAATATCCCATCACAAACGATGATGGACGTAACTTGAATGGCGCTTTGGGGCCGATGATATACTAAACCCACTCCTGCGGGCTCGACACACTAATGTGACAAAACGGCGGAAGAAGGCTGATATTCATCAGCCACTCAGAGATGAGGGTTGCAGTAGCTTCGTTCTCGTCTATCAATTTGACTCAAAATCACTTCTGAACTTCTCGGCCGCTGTGACACTCATCAACCCGAACCAAAAGTGTCAAGTTTTCGTTGGCTAACACATATCATTCCGGCACCGTGATCTCTCTTCGATCAATGTAAGTGCCCATCCTTTTGCAGCCTGCATAATGGTTCGCGTCGAAGTGGATGGCTAACGGAGGTGAGGTGAATGTCATCGGCCCGCTCGCATCGTTTCCAGTGAAGTCCATACCGTCGGGCTTGAGTCAACATTATGTGACTCTGTGATGGGATGTTGGTTGCTGGCTTCAGATGACGAGCTACGGACGAAACCAGATACAGCTTTCAGGTCGCGAATCAGAACCATTGCACTTGCCCTAACCATTCACGATAGGTCAGCGTTGGTGAAATACTGCGTCACACGCCGAAAAAAATATAAATGTCAATAGGTCAACGTCGGTTTGCAAAATCACCAGGAAGCCCTCTGAGAAAAAGTCACAAAGACTGATTCTGGATATCGTTCTACATGGAGCAATTCCAACTTTTAGACGAGCATGTGTCGAACCTCATCCTCCGCTTTGGCTTCCTGGATGTTGAGGATTTACCATTTGCCACCAGCGAGGAGATCGAGAATGCAGCGGCACTGGCGCTGCAGATGGCGGCGCCTGAAGAGCTCATCGAAATCGCAGTACGACAAAGCGCTCATCCACATCCACACCCAAACCCACCAAGAGCAGCAGCAGCAGCAGTAGTACCGGCTCGGCCTGTACCTCGTCGACCTCCGCAACCTCCAGAGCCTGAGCCGGAAGACCCTAACCCTGGCGCCTACATTGACTGGCAGGAGCGCAACCGCATTCTCGCAGACAGCCCGATCGAGCCTGATGACGGAGCCGAAGAAGGCGGGGAGGACTGTATCATTTGCTCCGGCGGCCGTGAGCCCAAGTTACAGCTCCCGTGCGGATGCTGGTTCTGCGCGCCCTGTCTCAGGGGTTGCATCCGCGCAGGCTTGAGGCAGGGCGGGTGGCCCCCCAAGTGCTGCGAGCCGTTGCAGAATGATGCCATCAGGTGGGTTAGGAGACCTGGCTTGCTGAGGTTGTATAGGCAGGTCAGGGAGGAGCAGGAGACGCCTGGAGATCAGAGGGTTTACTGTTCCCGGCCCGGATGTGCGGCGTTCATACCCGCTGCTGGACCGCATGTCACGGCCGACCTCATGAGATGTCGCGCTTGTGGCGAGGGAACGTGTCGGATGTGCCGAGCCGCCATACATCCTGGTCGACCGTGCCGGGAAGAGGAGGAGGACGAGATGTTGATGGATATCATGGACCGAGACAATCTTGCGAGTTGCCCTACATGCAGGAGGATTGTCGAGTTGTGGGATGGGTGCAATCACATCACGTAAGAAAACCACCCAAACACAATGACTGTTCTGGTTGACTGACGCACATATGTTGAATAGGTGTGAGTGCGGCCATCAATGGTGTTTCCTCTGCGGAGGGGATTGGAGGGGCGGGTGCGCACGGGGTTGTCCTCAGTATGGAGGACGTGAACGTCGTGTCCCTATGCGTCAACGCGTGTTTCGATACCAGCAAGGCCGGGGGGCGATGGATCACCACCCACGCATTCGACCACAGGGAGGGATCCCTGACGCTCTCCCACCGCCAGCAGAGCCTCCTAATTTGCTTGAGCTTCAACGGCAAGTCATCGCGGAGCAACCGCTATTACCTCCAGCATTACAAGCCCGCGTTGTGCCACGACCAATGCCTCAAGGTGAGTCAACGCCTTTCCGCTTGCTTGCCAAAGGTTTCGAGAAGGATAAAAGAAAGCATCCAGTGAATGCTGATGGACTGAGAGCAGTGCTTCCTTTTGTACCCGTCGTTGAGGACGATTTCGAAGGACATCCCGCCAACTTTGACACGGATTTCGGGGGTGCTCTACCGTTGATTGATGTTGGCGACGGTCCGGAACCAGACCACATTGATCCAGAGCCGATCATGGCGAACGCAAATGGGCAGGCACGCGGCCAGCAACGCTACTACATCATGATGTTCTACGCCGATGGGAACAACACAGAGGTCAGCTGGTTTCTCCTTGGTATCTGTAGCCTGGCTAACCATCTCTGATGATAGGTTGGAGACCCCAATTGGAGACGAGACAGCCCGGAGAACATGCGCCGGATCCGCGAGGGCGACGAGACCGAAGGCAGAGTATGGCCACAGTACGCCATAGAACGAGAGGAAGGGCGTTGCAACCATCAAACACATGCTCAGTGGGAGTTCCAGCCACGAGAAGAGCCGCCGTGTTTCTACTGCAGGATCAGGGACGGCAGACAGCTCTGGCACTGCCGGAGCTGTGGCGTGACGGCGTGCGACTGGCACCGGTTCCTGCGGTTTGGACTGACTTGGCAGCAGGCGAACAGGACCGTGAACAATCTGAGGAACAGGGTGACGGTTGATAGTGATTTTCGGTATCCGAGGGCTAATGCGAACAGAATCGAGGCTTGGGACTTGTTTTTGGAGGGTGTCAGGCCCCGGCGGCCTCGAAGGGGTCAGAGGGCTCAAAGGGCTGAGAGGGCTCCAAGGGCCGACAGGACTCAGAGGGCTCCAAGGGCTCAGAGGCCCAGGAGAGGTGAGTTTCTTGCGCGATCCTGGTAAGGAGGTAGACTGATGTTGGCAGGGTTTTGGGCAAGATTTTTTGGCGTTTAGGAAGACGAGTAAGTGACAGACCGCTGAACAGGCAGAGAACGACTTTGCACGATTCCGTGCCTGTGATGAAAGGAGTTAGCGGGTATTGAAGGTCTGCCTTTGGAAGCAACAGCCTTCGTTCATGGTTGTAAAAAAGACCCTCGTCATCATCTATCTGCGGAAGGGTCCTCTCCGGAGCTGCCATCTTCGGCATCCCACTCCATATTGCGTGGTGTTGGCAGTCATCCTGATCTGCCAGGGACAAGGGTACATGATTGGGGGATTTCTGATTTGACCGGTTTTCAGGAACCCGGAAAATTGGCAACACTCGACAGGCCATGGAGACCTGTGGGAACTCGATGGCATGCTGAGCTGCCTCCAATTTGAGAAAATGAGAATGAGCTTTCCTGGGGCGTAGAAATAAACTATAAAATGTCTGGTTACACCCAGGGCGAACCGGGTAGATGAAGCCGTCGCTACTCGGAGATCGGCAGCATCAATACCACAATTTTGACAATGGCACCGACAATGGGTCTTCCGGTTGCTATCCTGGCCATTCTAAGCGGGGCCGCTGCCCGCGACATATTTGTATCCCCAACCGGCACCGGCACCGGCACTCAGACGGCGCCGTATGGGTCCATTCAATCGGCCGTCAACGCCGCCGTGGCCGGCGACACCATTTACCTCCGCCAGGGCACCTATGCGCCGTCTGCGAACATCCAGTTCTCCAAGAGTGGAACCGTCACGTCTCCCATCTCCGTCCGCCCGTACCAGAGCGAGAAGGTCATCATTGACGGCGAGAATATGCCTGGGTGAGCATTGTTTACGCGTATAAGTGATCTAGAAAACCGCCGAGAAACTAACACTCATCAGCACGCCCAAGGCCCTGGACGAATCGTTGCCCAACTCGCAGCGAGGCATCTTTCACATCCAGAACGCCAACTACTGGGCCTTCTATGATCTAGAGTAAGCACTAACACCCGCCCCTCTCACCCATCACAGACCCTTCTGACCACCGCTCTAGGATGATTAACGGCCCCTACGGCATCTACGCCCGCGACGCCTCGCACAACTACTACAACGGCCTCTCGACGCACGACAACTATGAGACGGGCTTCCAGCTCGAGGGCGCCTCGTCCAACAACACGGTCCTCAACCTCGACTCGTACCGCAACCGCGACCCGCGCAAGAACGGCGAGAGCGCCGACGGCTTCGCGTGCAAGTCGGGCTCCGGCGAGGGCAACGTGCTGCGCAACGCGCGGCTGTGGGACAATGTCGACGACGGGCTCGACCTCTTCATGTTCGCGTCGCCCGTCACGCTCGAGGAGGTCTACAGCTGGGGCAACGGGTACAACCGCTGGGGCTTCTCGCCCTTCGAGGGCGACGGCAACGGGTTCAAGCTCGGCATCACGGACAACCCGCCCGCGAACCACGTTGTGCGCAACTCGATCGCGTTCGGCAACTTCAAGAAGGGGTTTATCGATAACGGCAACCCCGGCGCGCTGACGTTTGAGCGGAACACGGCGTGGAACAACGGGGACACGGGTTTTGTGATGCGTAGTTCGTCGTCGAGGATGACGGGGAACATTGCTGCGGTTAACGTTGGCAGCGCGCAGGTTAGTCTTGTGAGCACGGTGACTGCGACGGGGAACTCGTGGAACTCGGGGACGTGGTCCAACAGCTCCTTCGTCAGTGTGGATGCGTCTGTGTTGAAGGGGGCGAGGGGTTCGGATAAGAAGGTCAAAGGGAGCAACTTTTTGATTCCGGCGTCAGGACAAGCCATTGGTGCGACAACTCTCGCTGAGGTATAAGACGAAGGACCGACAGGGTGGCTTGGTGTATATATTGTAAATGCAGGTATCGGAATACGCAAAGTGGGATTCTATTTAACTCATGTGAACTCCGAGTTGGGTCTCTGAGTTAGGTCTCTGAGCTCGGTCTCCCAATTAGGTCTTTTTGAAAAACAGGTCTTGCTTGCCCCCGTGAAAAGCTTGGTTATCAAGCTGTGAATATCGTGCTGGAAGCGACGGTAGCCGTTGAGATTTCCATGGAGACCTGTGTGTTGTTGTTTTTCCGGGTGCAGCACAGTGCTTCTCATAGTTCATGCATCTAGAATTATTCCGCATATTATCAACATTTTGAAGGCACGACTATTGGCTAATTGAGTTTTGACGTTGGCCATCCGTTTACCAATCTGTAAGAGACCGAAAGGTATTACGCCACTAAAATAATATGAGAATCGCTTCGCGTCTCCGTATTGAACGGCGCGTCGACTTGTGGGGAGTGATTTGGCCTTTCACAAATGGATCTGGGCCACATCGCATATCTTACCACTTGGCGTTCTAGATCTGTGAGGCTCTCGCACTTTAGTCTGCGGGCATGCCGTCCGGGAGCTTCGCATTGGTTCTCACCGGTAGTCCGTCATGCGCAAAAGCATTCCAGACAGTCATTATGCGACATGGCAAATGGCTATGCACGAACGGTCGCGGCAGGGACTCCTTCCGCCCCTGTCTTGGGAGCACAGAAGATGCCTTTTTTTGAGCAACGATGATCTATGGTGTCTCCCTGAGAATCATTCGCAAGCAATCTATGATATTGCTAATGGAAGCTCTATCATTCGATGCGACTTTGACACTGGAAGGTTTTGGGACGAGAACCAGCTTGTGGAGTTCAACAAGCAGTCGCTTACCGAGTGTAACATCGCACAATGGCCCTTACTAGATTGGATATGGAGTTGGAACAGACAACATGATACTGGCATAGTTCCCGAGAACTGACCTTGAGATATTGTCATCCAGTCTCAGCCCAGAACCTTCAGGCTTTCTCTACCTCTGAGCTCATCCTCGTGGTGATACCGGAATGTAGAGGAAAGAGATCAATGGTTTTTGTCAGTTATATAATCCGTAAACATGGGTGATTGTCTACAATAATGGTGCGGGTTTCCAGGGGAAAAAGTAAAAAGAATAATATAAGCGCTTACTTTTGGTACTCCTATATTACCGGCATGCCGTGTTACGACTCCCGTTCAACATTCAACGGCGCCGGATCGGCATTCCGTGCAGGGACCCAACGTCGGCGACGGGCTCATGACTCAGCTCGGCAAAGGCACCAGTTAGCCGACGAAACCGGAGAGACAAGCTCGGGCCGCTGCCGAAAGCCCGGGGAGGAGGCCCGTTTTCCTCTTTGGGCCCATGAATTTATGACTAACCCAATCTTGCCGGTCCGCCACATCGGCGACTTGTCATTTCGCCGACGTCGCTGGTTGTTAGTGCCAGTCTCAGTCTCGCTCTCTCTCTCTCTCTTCCTCTGACGCATCGAGACGCGAAACCAACTCTGTTGAAGTTCAACAACACCAAACGGCGGCGCATTGTGAGATGCGGTAAAGAAAATCCACCACCTTTTTTGTTAACTCTCCCCCTCTCGGCATTCTGTCGAATGTCCATCTCTAATTCCCCATGGCAGCATGCAACAGGACCCCGCCCAGCACGGATGTTGGCAGCAGGAGCCCCCTGGCAGACGGGCCCCTGCCACCCGTAAAGTCGACTGCGTGAGCTGCCCCCTTGCCAAGCCTGTCAAACACACACAAAGATACACACACCACTGACATGCCTTATCTTCAAGATGTCGTCGGTGTCACTCCCGAAAGGTCAAGTGCTCAGGGGAGCACCCGTGCCAAAACTGTCGGCACGCTGGCAAAGGCCCCGAGTGTACCTACCCGCGACGGAATAGGCAAGTCAAGGTCAGGCAAAGGTAACGGAAGGCTTTCGTCAGGAGCGCCACCCCCGAAACTCAATCTTGTATATGTTGATCTTCTGACGGCGTGAAAAGCTACATTGACGGCCTCTTGGACGAAATCCGTCGGCTCAAGAGTCAGAATGCCCAGAGCGCGCCTAGTTCTATCAGGGACGACGTCAGTCAGATAACCACCCAGACCAACACCAGTAGCTACATCGGCAACAAGGTGACTACGCCGTCTTCAGGGCGGGGAGGCAGCGACAATGAGGAGCCCTCAGAAGCCGCCACACTAGAAGTGAGACCATGGTTCATGAACGCCAACGTCTTCCGCACCCCAATCCTCATCAGCGAGGTGGCGGACGCGGCCTTCACCACCCGCTTCCGCCAGGTCATTTCCGACCCCGAAGAGCCCCAGCCAAAGCACATTCTCAGACTCAACTACGCCCCAGACAAGGAACTGATGACGCTCGTCAAGTCTGACATCCCATGGCCCACGCCCTCCAGGTCTCGGTTTCTCGTAGAAGTCGCGCTCAAGTACGTCAGCAGACGGTACCATGTCGTCCGCCGCAGCTCCATCATGGAGAACTTGGAACAGAGTATCCACAACCCTTCGTGGGGAGACTTGATGCTTCGGTCGAAGCTGTGGGCGCTCTTCGCCATTGGTGAACTATACTCGACCCGCTCCATCCCGTCGGAGAGGGACTTTCCGGGCATGGCCTACTTTGCGAAAGCTTCTAGGATACTCGGCCTGCTCGATGAGCGGCCTGGCACAGACTCCATTGAGATTATGCTCCTCCTTGTACGTCCAACTGTGAAACATCGGCTCGTCGTGTCGTGGGTCCTAACTGTCGCAGTCCTTCTATTCTCTAGTGCTCAATCGCCGGTACAGTGCCTTCGTCATGTCCGGGACAGCTATGCGGATGGCCATAGTGATGGGCCTCCATCTCAATATTCCAGAATCTCAGCTTCGTGACCCCGACCTACGAGAGCACAGGAAGCGGCTCTTCTGGACGACGTACATCTTTGATCGTGTGTGGGCCTCCAAGCTAGGTCACCCAAGCGCCATCCAAGATAACGACATCGGCGTGGATCTGCCCTCAGAACCAGTTGTCGGCCAGACATTTGGCGCTGACTTTGACGATGCCGCTTACCACATCGCCAACCTGCGTTTAGCAGCCCTCGTGACAAAGACTGTCCGCTCAATCTATGGTCAACGCAATCAGGGAGATGCCACTCTGTCAACACGAGTGCAACAAGCCCTGAAAGACCTCCGGGCTTGGGTCGAGGATTTGCCCACCCACCTTCAGATCGATAACCCAGACTCTGGACCAAAGCCCATTTCCCTTCACTTGTCCTTCAACCAGGTAAGATCCTCCCCCGCTTCCTCTAGATAACCGTGACATCTTGCTAACAAAACCAGTGTGCCATCCTGGCCACACGACCCATCCTACTTCACATCTTGCGCACGCAAGTCGCCTCATGGCCCTCATCATCCCCCGTAACAGACGCACAGGTACCCGCCAGCGCCATCACCCTCTCCGAGGCCTGCATCCGCTGCGCCCGCCACTCCATCCGCCTCCTCACAGACTCCTGGATCGACGGCTCCTTCGCCACCTTTGACTACTTCTACACCCAGTACCTCTTCTCAGCGCTGACCATCCTCGCAGCATCGAGCCTCCTCGACGGCCCCGAGAGCAGGAGCGACAGGGAGGCCTTTGAGGAGTCGGCACGGTTCCTGTCCCAGCTGCGCGATGCCGGCAACTTCGCCGCCCAGGAGTACTGCCACCACGTCGACGTGATGAAGGCGGACCTGGACAAGGTGTACGCCAAAAGGATGGGGCTGGCACTCGGGGAGCAGCATACACGGGGGCTGGCGGCCGAAGACGTGTCGTCGCGGTTCACGAGGGTTGGCTCAGCGATGTCGCAGTTTGGCCCCGCGCCGATGCTGCCGGCGCACACGACGGCGGGGATGGCCCTCACAGAGCCGTCTCTGGAGGAGCTTCTGGCTCAGCCGGTGCTGGATTTGCAGTTTTTGGAGGCCTCGTTCTATGATGACCATCAAGGACTATACTGGCCGGACTTTAGCACAGAGAACTGGAATGATTTGGCATAGATACCCCAGTCATACACGCAGGCGTTATATTAATCCATAGCAATTGATTGGAGATCACATTTCCCCGGCTCAATTCTGATGACTTGTAACACCTTTACACATTGGGTGATCAGGAGATCATTCATCATTGAAGGATTCGTATTAGGTTCTACTACCAGGTGACCACACAGGCGTCGGCCGGACGTGGATACTATAAAGAAACTCTGCTCAATAAAGCCTGTTTCGAGCTCAAACCGAGACGCCGCCCATGTAAAAGTTCCTTCCCTCGCCCATGCCGTGTACTACACAGCAGTAGCATTATCAGACTCAACGCCATCTCGTTAATGCCTACCAGACACCTAAGGAGTGTCCGGCGTCGGTGGCCTGGCCGTCTGCTGTTGTTGTCCAGCAGTCGGCTGCTGTTGCTCGGCCGTCTGCTTCTGTTGCTCGGCGGTCTGCTGCTGTTGGTTGGCCGTCTGCTGCTGTTGGTTGGCCGTCTGCTGTTGTTGGTTGGCCATCTGCTGCTGTGGGTGGTTCGTGTAAGGCAGGCTGTTCTGACTCTGGTTGACGGGCCGGTGGGCCGCATTAGTGGTGGCCTGGGCGTTCTGACTCTCGCTGTCGACGTGATGATTCTCCTTCACTGGGCGGCTGTGCAGTCTGTCCCTGCGGTGGCGTTTGATACCGATAATGTGAAGTATTAGGGACATGACGAAGGAGACCCTTTGTGGGCATGGTTAGAGAGTCTTTGGCTAGTGTTGGGGGATAATGACTTACACGATTAGGAAACCTATGACGGTCAAAACCATGTACACGGAGGCGCCCCCCCAATTGTCTCTGTCGGCCTCATACATGCCTCCCGCGGCGGACATGGCGGTCGCGACGGAGATGGGAATCATTTCAGGGAGGAAGATTATGTCGAATGCGAGCACTACCCAGTCTGATTCAGACGCAAATGTCAGCATAGTGCTTTCGTGAGAGGTGGAGGAGGATTCGTACAATTGTAGGCTTTCGGCGCGTGGTAGTAAGAGATGAGGTGCCAGAAGTTAACGACGATGACGGCTGAGCACTTTGCGAGGCGGCGCGTTAGTCGACGTGGAGCTCCTTCGGTGAGGCGTACTGCTGGTACTTACAAAGACGAGCATATAAATCTGAGGCCAACTGACCGTAAAGATCATGGACCACGCGCAGAGGACGAGGAGTGATACGACGAGGGCAACCTGGAGGAGCCTGAAGGCCAAGTAGCCCGTTGGAAAGATCGGGAGATTTTCAAAGCCAGCATCCCGACTGGAGGCATAATGGACGCTTCTCGCCATATTGAGGATGCTTTGACAATGATGTGGCGATGATCTGGCGACGTAGAGGGGATTGAGGGATGTTGAAGTTGTATTTGTATAGAGGAACGATCCAGACCAATTGAGTCATAACGAGAAAATAAAAGGGACGATGAAAGCAGCCCCAGAAGCCGCCTGCCGTTAAATACATATGATCTAATACAGCAAGTGCGGAGATAGAATGGGAAGGTGGAGGGACACACTCGCCCCCTTAGGTCGCTTTTCACAGTGTTGGTGCTTTGGGCCTCCTTCCGCCAGGGAAAATGGGGCAACGTTAAAAATACCACTAGGCAGGCGTGTTGACCTGCTCTTTCCCATGGCGGGTCACGAAAGGCTCCTGATCACATACAAGCAGGCAGGCGGGCACACATACACTGCGATCGCCGGCAGGGTCTCGCGATGTGGTGGTATTCGCGGGTAGGAGCGAGCATCACTAGAGGCATTCGAGGCGCCAAGGACAAGGAACAGGAAGCTTTGGGGCGGACGATTGAGCAAGGAAGCCTTAAGGAAGCTGACTTTGGGGAAATTCAAGGTAACGAACCAAAGGACTTCGCAGAAAGTATGGTCCACGTCGAGAGTGATAACCACGCGATGTTGCAGGTGGCAGACAGACGGCTCAAACGGCGTACAAAACCATTGCTACGTCTCAGGCGTTGGTCCTGGCTTGCGCTCGGGACTGATCGTAAGGCATCTGATTGCCAGCGTGCATGTGCAGTAATTGTGGGAGGTTTGATGGCATTTGAAGCTGAACGGTACGGCCAAGGGGATCAGCCGGTAACCCTGTCATCTCAGCCCTACTCGGGAGTTTCTATATTGTAGAGGATGAAATGGGAGCGCCGTCATGGCGTTCATTAGGGAAGGGTCGTCCTTTTGGTTTTGTAGGGCCGATTGCAAGAAGATTGACATATGAATGGGGCTGAGGTTCTCGCTAAGGTTTGTTGTCAAGGCATGAGTATCACCTGGGGATTTGCCAATCGCTGGCAGACATTGAAATTGGCCTTGGCGGTGTGGTTCAATGTTTTGACTGAAAGTAATCCAAAAAAGTGTGCTTGACAGGCCCAAATGATATTCATTTTGTGGTTATGAGCTCGCTGTCTATCGTCTAGATCCTCCTCCGAAAGTGTTTGCCAGGTCCAATACAGCTAGGAAACACTGCTACATCCAAGTGAAGCCATACTTAGCCGCACCAATTTCCACCTCAATATCAACTTCACCAGTACTACCATCGGAAATGTCCCATAACATGATACATCTCGCCGCCCCCTCCACTCAGCCTCTGCAAGGCTTTACGATGTTCCGTTACACCTGCTTAGACCATGTTCTCGGTGCAGGAGGGACCCTTTGATGGGCACTCCTTAGCCGCTCCCAGGCTAGATTCAAGAGCGGTCAACACAAAAGTCCACGTCGCCTTCCCATAGACCTGCATGGTCCAAAGTAACCGCGAATTCGGATTGTGTTCGCAGCGATAATTGGTGTCGAAAGGATTTGTGTCGCTTCAGAGCCTCGAAATTGGGATAGTACGTCTTGGAAACGGCAGGCAGGTGAATCTGCGACCACCAAAGCTTCGTTGTAGGAAATCGTCGTCCGGTTTTTCGTTGATGCTCTGGGAGATCAAAAGAAGATCATTGCGACAGGAAAGAGAGGCGCATCCTCTGTTCCTGAAAGTCTGTCTTGAAAGACGCAAAAGGTAACGAGATGTCGATCCGTTGTGACTTCCCCTCGTAACATTCTGTTCCTAGGAACCCCCAAAAGGGGCCCCCAAAAACGGCAGGTACGCTAGGAAGAAACAGGGTTGATGGCGATCGGCGGCCGTGAAAGATTGGACGAACGGTTACAACGTCCCGGTCCTCCTCGGCACGTGCCAGCATCAGTGCAGCAGTGGATCGTCTGAGGTCATTGACGTTGTCAAATTCAACCACAACTGCCTCCCGACACGCGCTCAAGGCCGTATGTTTTTTCGATTTTGAAAGGAAATCGACATGAAGGAAAGACACCTCCAGAAATGCCAGTCTGCCTTCACCGTTCCGCCCTGATCTGCGACCGATATCCGTGTCGTGTCGTGATATCCCGCATTATGCAGTTCAGGCTCCAGCGGGGGACATCGGGTGTTGCCACGCCTGGTAAGCGATGTAGGCTTGGTACGAGCTGATGGCCAGCGAGAAGAGTCCCAGGAAGACTGCGAAGAGGACGCCGATCAAAGTTGCAAGCATCATGCGGCGGGTGCCGATGTGCCTGTCAAGCTGGCGTTCCAAGAGACTTCTGGGCTTTGGGTTGAGGACTTCGTGGTGGAGATCCTCCAGTCGCTTCGCCAGGTGAACGAAGCGGACTGTCTCTTCCCCCTTGTTCTTGATCGTGTCGAACTCGATGTTCTGAATGTCTGGGTCGAAAGCCCCGCTCTTGACGAAAGATGCCAGCATCTTTCGGGATTTCCTGTCCGAGACTGGGAACAGAACGCCCTGCAGGGACTCCAGTACCTCCAGCATCAACTGGCGGGGAAGGGCTCCTCTGAACAATGGAATGTCAGTCATCTGCATGTCATGGTTTTGATGGGGCAATCATACGCTTTGAGAGCATCTTGGACGGTGGAGTTGCTGGGAAGGCTCCTTGTGAGCCGGAGGTGCTCCTTGATGAAGCCAGTGTAGTGGAAGACCTCGAGAGTCATGGTCTTCCGATCGAGCTTGAGATGATCGCGGATGTCGTCAGTCGGTCGAATGGACAGACCCAGTGTCTTTCTCAGCTTCGTGGCTCTGAGATCGACCTTGGTGTCTGCGGTCCCAAGCTGATCAGGGAAGCCGCCAGCTTTGGGCCGATCAGAGTCAAAGAACCTCTCGACGAACTTGCTGAGGGGCTCCGCATTCTTCCATTCGGAACTGGGGTGGCCCTTTTCCAGCTCGTCATCCGAGAGGTCCACCGCGGAGCAGTCGGTCATGAAAGCGATGCGGACCGCAGTCTCGACAAGCTCGCGATGACCGCCGTCTAGTTCCTTTGGAACAACATCGGGATTCGATCTCATGTGGCTGAGGATATCCTCCAGCTTGGTGATGGCATTCTTATCGAATGCCTTGTCGTTGCGGATGGCAGCATCGCAGAATCGGAAGTAGCTTTCCAGACGGCTGCCCGAGCACGGGCAAGCCTCTGGTGTACTCTCTAGGCAGGGCGGAGACAAGACCGGCTTCTCGCTCTGATGCGTATCATGCGAGACGGTCTTGTGCATTGCTTGCTGGTGGTCGGACATTGGACTCGTGTTGTTTGTTGTTGTCTGAATCATGAGCTTGAGATTTTCGAGACGGGATTTCGAGCCTCAATTATTCACGGCCAGAATCTCAATTAGTCAACATGCGTGGTCACAACGCATTGCCCAATGTCGTTCGGCGAGTGGTTGGTCTTCCTCACTGAAGAACCACACCCACTCGGCCATCCAGTAGAACATCGACAGCACCACGAGGCCAGCCCCGTTTCCCCTTGCCCAATTTCCCAATCGGACTGGGATCTAGCGGTGAGCTTCAATTGAGCCCAGGTGATTGCCTCGTCTTCCACCACGTCGAAGTGGCTCGTGGTCCAACGCATCACGAGACCCACAGTTTCCATCCGCAGCGCTTCGATGAAGCCAATCACCAGCACCGCGGAAACAGGGGGACAAACCAGCACCCCGGCGTTTTCTCCTCTGCATCCCCATCGGTGCAGGTTTCA